GAATGCCAAAGTTCCTGGCAAAAGGAAGAAACAGATAATTGCAGAGTTTTGCCCCTGTTTAGCCAACAAATAAAATAACATTATATAGAAAATAACATAACAAGGGCTTGTTTTCCCCAAAACTAAGCAATTAACTTCCAGCAGGTAAAGTAGCCATGTGTGCAAATAAAGCTGACAGCCCTAATATGACATTAGTGTAATATGAAGCAGAACTTGAAAACTATGTATCATTGTTAGATGATTCCTGTTTATTCTGAGGATACATTTCCCGTACTTACCTCAGTCATTTATATGAACTTACACAAAGCTGTAGTTCGTCGCTGGTGATGGCTCTGTTAATTTTTGTACCAGATGTGCAACTTTCACTGCAATACCATTCAGCAAACCTGAATCTGTTTTTGAAGCAGCCTGGTCACAAAAACCTTCTTGTGCTTTACAGATTGTATCTTGCAAGGTGTATTTTCAAAAACTTGTAGAAACATTCCTATAGTTTTAAAACTAAAATTATGCTCATGCCAAGAATCTTGCCATGCCAAGTTTTTTTTATATCATGGGAGAGGGCAGATGTTAGTTTTATCATCAGACTGAAGGAGAGGTAGAATGGAAGAAGAGTACTGCTTGTACTTCCCTTTATATTCTGTTTATAGGCCATTGCAAAGCAAAAAGATATTATATTGTCACTGTTCTCTCCATCTGCAAACAATTCAGAGTTGGTTATGTTACCATTTGTCTCTCATGCTATTGATCTGATATTGTCAGTCTCGCTAGCATGTACTCTGTGTAAATTAAATTGAGTAAGTGTAATTCAGCACCACTTGAGTTCTCTACTTGAATACAGTAGTTACAAAAGATTCACAATTTCAGCATTCATTTCCTTTATGTTTTTCTGGAATCTAAACAATTCCCATAAAACTGATGACATAGTACAGCAAGAAGATCCATCTATCAGTTTATGCTGCAAAGTGTAGCCCCCACTAGAAGTTGCAGAAGTTTTGAAAGAGTTGTTTCAATATTATTCCTACTATGTTTCACTAAGACTTGGGTTTTCAATAGGAAACAGAAACTCACCTCTTTATGAAATACATGCCCAGGGAAAGATCATCCTCTGTATTTATTTAGACTGGTCAACAAGAAAAAGTTTTATCAATATGAGATGAGGAATTACTTAGCTGCACCCAAATAGCTTCCTGTGTGGATGCTTCTTTATAATAGTCTGCTTTGTTTTTTGGCTTTAGTGTTGGGTTTGTTTGTTTAATGTATGTATTTTAAGAACATAAGCATACATAACTGAAGAAAAAAAATCAGGTTGGTCACAAGTTGAGTTGCTTTGACTCTGGTAAAAGATAGGAGGATTGAACAGGCTTTTTTTCTAGATAGAAAATAGTTGTGGCAGTATTGCTGTCTTGAAGGGTGACTGCTGAGCACATTCATTCAGTAACAGGGAAGAAAACCATTTCTGATAATTTATGTGCCCAGTGAATGCCAATGACTAATTGAGGTTTGAAACAGAGCACTGCCTGTTCAGTATGTAAACATGTGGCACAGGCACATGCATGCACGTTTGTATGTGCACACAGTGTATGTAGTGCACATGTATACTAAGCCATGTATTATTTTAAATCTAAAAGCTGTAACACTACACTACTAGCATTCTCATTAGTTAGGTAATAGGTCTGCCACAATCAAAGCAGCAGATTTACTCAAGTGGGATTCATCTTTCATCCTCCAGATTTGTTAATCTGCAGTTTCCTCAAATGAGGGAAAATCAACTGCATCCTTTACGGTAGAGGACGGCTGTGTTCATGTTTGTCTTGGGGAAAAAAGCAAACAAGACAAGTAAACAATACTAGTGGCCAGCACCAGATGTTTCAGAGAATGGTTTGAAAGACCCATTAAGGACAAACAAAAATTACATGTCCTGAAAAAAAAAGCCTCCTACGCATCCCAAGCTGTTAGAGGCTGGCTTTGCCAAAGAAAATGGTGAAAGGCTTATGTTCTTCATAAAAGGAATGAGTTCATTGTCATGGATAAAAACACATCAGAGTTTGTGAAGGGAACAGTTGTTTCCTGCCAGTAATCAGTTAGAAGTACCACACAGCATCAATCGCTGGAGTGTAGCTTGAGCTACTACATGCTGGTCTGGTGTAACTTTTCTGACTGGCATCAGTGGCCAGAGCTGCTGGCTTTGAGACAGTGGTACTTCTTCTGCTGTAGTTGTTGGCTTGTGTTAATTTGCTCATGTCTCAGGACATGAATAGTTGGCACTCTTGTAATGCGGAGACTTCTATCTTGTAGTATCTTTTTCTCAACTTCCTCTGATTCCTTCACCAATGGCAGAACAAAATGCTTTCTTCTGCTACTATCCTATTGTTATAACCAGGAGTGCTACTGACCAATATTTTCCTTTTCAAAGCAGTGTGCCATCTGGCAAGGGATTACAAATACAAATGGATGTGTGCCACGTGCACCCATGTGTGCAATGAACAAAATTGGTGGAAGAGCATTTTAGGCCAAGGGTGCCTGTTTTATCAGTTTAGGAGGACATGAAGGTTGTAAAGTGGGTGCAGAGAAAGGATATACCCACTTGACAGAAAACACAGCATCTGCTCCCATCCTTTTGCAATCCTGTCTTCACCAAATGTCAAAGTATTATTTTACACTTGGGGGAAAAAAACCAAACAAACAACTAAGCCTTGCTTCCAGGCACACCATGAGAACAAAAATAACCTCCCTGCAAATCACCACATCTTTCTGTCACCCTCCTCTCTTTGTTTGTTTACCCACAAGATCAATGGGAAAACAGTGACAGAAAGGCAACTTAAGGTTTCTATTGAGGTGGCAGCAGCAGAGCACAGCACTGAGATGGAGGCTGTTAGGGGAAAAAGCCCAGTTGCCTCTTGGCCCTATTAGTAATGTTGCTGCTCCTCCAGCGTGGTGGCTCTTGGCAGTAATGAACATGACAGCTTCAGGACTGTGCGCAGCGCCTTTCATACCTTTTGAAAGGAAATAGTGTCTGTGCTGTGCAGTCTCCTTCATTATGAGAGAAAATCAGTCATACTGTTTCAAGAAAGGATAAAAGACATGAAAGTCCCACTTTTTTTATCCTTCTTTTTTCTTCTCATTTTGAGACACAAACTCCTACCACCTGGCTTTCTGAAAAGAATCCTTAGGATAAAAAGAACTAGTCAAGCATTGTCATGTGTTTACCCTATTTTAGCATGTGTCCTTGCTAATGTAATGTACTAATGTATTCTTTGCAGCTGGAAGAAGGGTGGCTGGATGATGAAAGGAATGAATTCTTAGAGGAGTTAAACCTGGAAATGTTGGAAGAGCAACATAATGAAGCCATGCAGTACACAGCCAACGAGGTGGAGCAGGTAAGACTGCTACTAAGCATATCATTTGAAATTTTGCTAGGGATACTTTTTTGAAATAGGGAATTAAATGGTATGCTGTAAAATGGAGTCAAAGGCTTTGATAGTGTTCTGTCTCTAAAATGCTGTGAACTCTGGTGTGCTGTAGGTACGGGAAAGGAGAACAGTAGATGCTGAGGCCCAGTATCACAATTTAGCAAACAATTTAGGAAACTGTGATAAGTGCAGATTTTTAGTTTTCTGTGAGCTCAGAATAAATCCTTTCCTTCTATAATTCTGAAGTGTTTGGGCGGTTTATATTATTTTTGGGTTTTTACATATGTTTTATGTATTTTTTTAATTAATTCTATGAACGTGGTACCTAGAGCTCCAAGTTGAGATAGATGTCCCTGTTGTTGTATACATGTGAGGTATGAGCCAACCCTTGCACCAGAGAGCTTGCAAAACAAGATGGAAGAGGTGTTTAAAATAAACAACAGGTGTTTTGGTAATACAAGTGTATTTTTCTTACATCGACAGTGCACAGCTCAGCATTTGTTTTGTTAATGGAGACAAATAAGCCTATTGTTCGCATAATCACAGCTTGCTGCTATCCTGACTTGTACCTGCCCGTATGTGCTGGAAGCAATGTGATTGTGGCAATGATGCATGCATACCCCCAGCCATACCATTTCATCAAGGGAAGAGTTGTGGAAGGCATGCGTGACCTTACCCACACCTGAATCCGATGGTCTGTCAGCATGCACACCTGTGAGGAGCCAAGGAAATAAAATCCAACTTCATCTCCTGGCTTCTGTGTATGCACAGCTGGGGAGAAACTGTTTTTCTACCCATGGAAATTTGTGACTTACAAGTTTTTCACCCATCTGAATTAGTTGAAAGCAGAGCCTGAGGCATTTTTCTTGGAGGTGAAGAGTGAGAGAAAGACTGTGAGAGCCTTCCTTCTCATGGAAACCAGGGAGCTTCAAATACCTCACTGTCTGGTCCACACTGAAGGCCTGAATGAGCACCTGAGTTCTTGCCTCCTTACCTCCCCCCTCCAGTCTTGATGCTGGAGTTTAGACTACTTTAGTTGATAGCTCACATTAAAGCTATTCACTGTACATAAATTAAATATTCATTGGGACAGAGACACTGACAAAATAATTAAGTCAATTATCTGGAATATGATAGATGAGATTACAAATCCTTAATCTTAGTAGCATTTAATTATTTACACAAAGTGGAATAACTCCAAGGTCAGAGGTGAAGGGAGCATTGCAACAGGATTTATAGTGGCATTTTAGTTATGACCCACTTTTCCAAGCAGTGGTCCAAGCCTTGGCTTCCCAGGTTAAATGTGCTAGCTGCTGCACAGCTTTGAGCTGATACTTGACATCTTGCTTATATTTTTAACCACAAATTTTATTTTGGATGGCAAAAGATTTCCTTGTCAGAAGGAACACCTGTTCTTTGCAAAGCGACTTCCTTGGCATAGTGATCTTTTCACACACACACACTTCTGGAGGAAATTCTAGAGCAGGTCTATTTACAAACCCCTACTAGCCCCTCACAGGGTATGTTTGGTCCTCTGAAATCAATTCATAGGTGTGACCTTCCACTCCCAAGTTCATGTCAAGCATTAGCTTTTTCAGTGAATTTAGGTTGTGGATTGTTAGAACAGTGGTATTCTACAGAGTGGTTTCACTAAGATTGTTTATTCCCCATTGGGATTTTATACTAGGGATTATTTTTTCCCCTATTGAGACTTCATATTACTATATTATATAGAAGAGGGCTGCACTTGAAAGAAATATGGTCACTTGCATTCTGTTGGTATTCAACATTGGGTTGCTTGAAGTAATTCTAGGACAGCTAGACATTTCTTTGCCCTTTTGATGAGTAATTGAATCAACCAAATGCATCTTGGTGTGTAATGGGGCATCAGTAATTTGTGACAGCTGCTGTCCCTCTAGACTCCTATGTAGTGACTTGGCAAGTCAGAAAACTGGTTCTTTACTCCTTGTTAGGCTGGGAGACCTAGCAGTTTCCTGAGGTGAATCACATAATCCACCAGGGCAGTGAAACCACTCTCATTGCAGCTGCCTGTGGCCAAGCTGAGTATCCTCAAGCTTCCTGGTTGGCCATGGGGATTTTGCTCTATTGCCAGCCTTGATTTCTGTGAACCAAAACACAGTCCTCTGGCTTAATAATCATCTGTCATCATGAATCCTGTGAGCTGCAGGAACAAATAGACACTATAGCAGAATATCCTTTCAAATACAAGTCTGTTTTACAGAATGCCATTTTAACATTTAGTATGGACTGTCACAGAAAAATCTGTACACTTTGTAATAGAGGAATTAAGTAGGTAGTAGCATATTTTCTGTATGTTTTTGAGCCACTCTACAGAATTTAATCAAGAATTGTTATATTTTCTGTATAGAATAGTCCAATAAACCTTGAGAAAAGATGTAATTCTCAATATTTTGTAGCTCATTGTATTCCTTCCCCTTTACAATATCGCAGTTCAGCAGAGGTAACTTTCAGAAGAATACCATACATTTGTCATGCAGAAATTCATATCAGTATCATTAAATATATGAAAATCTATCAAGAAGAGAAAGAATTGGATTAAAAAATTTAATTCAAGCTCATTCAGAGCTGAAATGCAGTAAAAATATCTGGGGAATGCTATCTTTTGAGAGAGGCCTGTTTTGAAAGAACAGTATTGTTTGCAGAAGAGCATTTTGCCTTTTAGGGCACTGCTGAAATCAATCGTAATCTTCTTTCATGGCTGGATGGCATACCTTGTGGTTCACCTGCCACTGGAGATACCTCTCTGTTTGGTCAGCCTCCCTTCTCATAGTCAGAGACTGAAAAGAGATCCCAGCAGCTACCTTTGTTAAAACCTTTGACTGAATCTCACTGCCTTCAGAGTTTAGTAGCAGCCTGGGTTTTGACTCCCAATATACATCATAAGTTGTAAAATGAGAATAGAACAGTGCCTGAATTCCTGCAAGATTAGCCATTTTACAGGCACAAATGCTTGCTGGAGCTGAAACGCAGAATCTTTTGAGGTTCATTTATTGCCTGATTGTACGCACCACCAGGTTTGCCTTCTCATTATCTGAGTTCTCACTGCATAGATGAGACCTGAGGAGCCCTTTGGTATTTCAAACAGAAGTAATTGTAGAAGAGATTGACAATGTACTTTTGAAAACAAACACTTTGTTTGGAATAGATAATAGATAACACTGACAAAAGCAACGCACTGACAGTTGGAGAGTCTCTCTTGTTTTTCAGAACGGACTTAACCTGGAATTAGGCTTGCTGCTTTTCAAAATTAAATAATCTCATGTTGTAAAAGCTTGCTCAGCCTGCACATGTTTAAGAGCTCTGGCCAGCATGACAAGTCCAAGATAGAAGTGCCAGGGACTACCTGAATCACAGTGGATTTTTAAAAAAAAAGATACCTCAAAACCATGCAGTACAATAAATATCTGTATTACTTTCCATTTTCTTAATTGAGCTAACTGCAAGTATCCACGTACTGGAGAAAGATTTAAAGTTACGTGGATGTCTGCTTTAGATTGAGAAGAATCTGATTGTACAGGGACTTGTTTCTTCCTGACAGGGAGGGGAACCCAATGTAATTACCTCACATTCAGGTGACTGTACTACAGACATACTTGATCAAATCAATTCCACCCATCTGATTTCTTTTAGACTGGAAAGAGGGGGTTTGCTTTCTTTACATCTTGTGTGTGTGTCCATGTGGGAATTATAGATAGTGTAACTTGAGAAGATGGCAGCTTATGACGTTCAGTCAGTCTAAATCAAGTACAAGTTGGAGGAGCAAAGTTTGAATTGTTGATAAAAGTGGTATGGAAAACAAGAGCCACTAGAAGTGTTGATTGTGTGGTCTGAACTGTAAAGTCTGTTTCAACACCTATACCAATAGATAAATGAAGGGATTTTTTCAGAAGTGCTCAAATAGATGCTTTGATGGTGTGACACCAAGCTGCAGACATCAGAGGAAGCATCATGGAGCTCAGCTCCTATAAGCTGAATAACTGTGCTAACCCAGTATGGATAAGCCACTCTGTCATACGGATGCAAGTTGTGATTAGTCACTCGCTCTCAGGGTCAGAGAGCAGATCTTGTCCCTTCGTATTGCAGTGGCAAGGGTGCAGTGTAGGTGACCCAGACTGCTCTCTTTACAAAGAACAGCTGAGGGAGCTGGGTCTCTTCAGCTTGGAGGAGACTGAGGGGTGACCTCATCAATGTTTATAAATACATACAGGTCGTGAGTGTCAGGAGGACAAAGCCAGTGATAGGACAAGGGGCAACGGGTGCAAACTGGAGCATAGGGATTTCCATGCAAACATCAGGAAAAACTCCCTTACTGTGAGAGTGACAGAGCACTGGAACAGGCTGCCCAGAGAGGTTGTGGAGTCTCCTTCACTGGAGACATTAAAAACTCGCCTGAATGCATTCCTGTGTGATGCACTCTAGGTGACCCTACTCTGGCAGGTGGATTGGACTGGATGAACTTTCAAGGTCCCTAAGATTCTGTGATTCTGTGACTGAAGTGACTTCTCTGTGGAAAGGTTTGGAGAAGAGGAGATCAATACAAGATGGAGTAGCTCCAGAGCAGATGAGAGAAGGGACCAGAATAGCTTATGTGGCAGCACTTGCCTAAAGGAGGTAAACTAGAAAAATATTAAATTAATTAAACCTAAATCTCCAGCATTCATGGTGAAAGCCCTGGCCATTTGACTGGTTGAGGTGCTCTTCTTTCTGGTTACTCTTGGTTTTCATGAAGAATTCTCTAGACATTGTTGGAGTTTTTTGTGTAAAATATTACATTTTGGAACTAAATTGTTTTTAAGTGGATAAGTAGAAAGATCTGTGAGGATCTTAGATGGAAAAAATACATACCATTGAATTGTTTTAACTTGCAGAATTTTCATAACAGTCTGCCTTTGTCCCTTGCAGTTTCAAAGTCTAGTTTCTAGAAAACTTGTACCCTACAACATCAAGAAATATTGATGATCCCTTGAGTAACACAGAATAATACGTTCTTTCCTATGACATTTAAATTCAAGGGCAGAGTTTCTCCCAATTTGGGAAGACTGAGAGATACTAATTGGCACATATTGTTGGTATGGCTGCCAAAATTACATGAGACATATATTTATTGTGCTTTTTGTTATCAGCTGCATGTTGTATGTAGAAAAGGACGAGCTAAAATGTATGCTACAATTTTAAAGATAAGTTTCTCTTTGCAGATCTTGTCTGACAGCAAATTGCTAAAGCATCTTTTAAGAAATTTTTACCTGGTCTATCACTGATGCCAAATTATCCTTGTGTTGTGTTTCTTTCAATATTTATTTTATTCCACTATTTAATTGCATCTTGAAGTGGAGGCGATTTTGTTTTTCTGAGACTAGGCCATTATTTTTTTCCTTACAATTGAAGACAGGAAACCACTTGAAGGGTTTGTGATCATGAGATGCACATGAAGAGACGAGAAATGAGGAGATAGGAGAGACATTTTCATCCTCTTTTACTATCTGTCAAAGTAGAGAAAAAGGGAATTATGACAGAGGCCTCTTTGAGTTTGTTTCCTTTCAGTGACTGCAGTGTACCTATTTTCTCCCTTGATTATTGCTACCATTATACATAATTATGCAATTATACCTCCTAAAAGAGAAATAGTGTTTGGTTGGTACTATGTACACTTAGTTTTGTGGCAAGCAGGCCATATAAATTGCTCTCAGCATGATTGCTCTGAAAGTGGAGTAGGGGGAAATTCTTTGCTTATCCAGTTTGAAAAATAAAAAGCATCTCTGTTCTCAGAGTGGTATTGTCTCACATTCTTTGAGAATATAAATAGGTTGAGAATATAAATAGTTAGACACACTGAGTAGAGTGTGAATTAAAAAACAACAGCCTAAAAGCTTGACATTAAGCCCATGGCAAACATTCAGTGTTGTTCTACCCTCAGTGGTAAAAGGCTGTTTTCATTTCTAAGGAACGTAAGCTCCAACTGGGGAACAAAAATGGTCTCCAGGGATACTGTGCAGAGAGGTGTACTTGAGCAAAGTCCTACAATTCAAAATGAACAATCTTTTTGAAAAAGAGTACAGGAACCAAGAAGTGTGAGAGAAGGCTGTGGAGTGTATGGTAGAACAGGCTGGTCTTCTGCAATCTTGAACCCTCTATAGATCAAACAAGGAGTTCACTGTTTTAAAAAAAAAAAAAAAAACTCCCAAGGATGAAAGTAATCTTTTTGCACCCTCTTAGGTTGTACTAGTCATTGTTTGATTGGCTACTTGGTCTATTTTTTAAAATTATAACAGTACTGAAGCTTTTTTCCAAGTTTGACTGGATTTCAGCTCCACTGATCTCTGGCCATAATCCAGAATAAAAAACAGTGCACCATCTGGTGATCATTATCTTTAAGCACTGCAAAGAGATGGCTTAGCTAGAGAGGGAAATATTTCTTTCTGGACTTTAGAAAATATGTCACTAGTGCTGTAATTCATCTACCTCACTCAGTATGGCCACCACAGCGTGAATCTCAGAAATGTTTAAAAGCTATGAGCAGTAGGAATGCTGTTTAGTGATCTGTTTTAACTCAGCTTAAATCAGATCCCAGCTGCTTAAGCAAAACAGAGCTGGAAAATACTCCCGTGTGGTATGGTCTGCATTTGGTAATCATTTTGGTTTGCTCGTTTTTTTAGCCAAAGAAACATGAAGAGGAGGATGGCACTACAGACACTGCAACCTCATCATCCAACAATCATGAGAAGGACAGTGGGGTGGGACCTACAGATGAAAGTCTGCGTAATGACGAGAGCTCGGAGCAAGAAAACGCACCTGAAGAGCAGAAAAACGCAACCCTGCAGAGCAAACGGGAGCTGGGCCACAGCCAAGATACCTTAGGAAGCGCTGAGCTCCAGTGCAATGAAAGCTTTGTGTCTGGGGAATACATTGAATCTGATTTTGTTGGAAACCCGGAGGAGGAATGTGAAAGATTTCGGCAGCTATTGGAACTGAAGTGCAAGATTCGAAACCACGGGGAGTACGACCTGTATTATTCGAGCAGCATGATAGAGTGCAACAGAAGAGAACAAGATGGAGTAGAGCATGAGCTGCAACTACTCAATGAGGAACTGAGGAATATTGAACTCGAATGTCAGAATATTATGCAAGCTCACCAGCTCCAAAAGGTGAGGGATCAGTATGGAGACATTTGGGCTTTACATGATGAAGGGTTCAGGAATTATAACACCAGCATAGATGTACAAAGAGGTAAACTGGATGACATCATGGAGCACCCTGAGAAATCTGACAAGGACAGCTCCAGCGCCTACAACACAGCTGAAAGCTGCAGGAGCACACCACTGACAGTGGAGCGATCCCCTGATAACTCTCTCCAGAGGATGATCAGCATCACCAACAGGAAAAACCTGAGGAGCACAATCGTGACTAATCAGTCATCCTCAGGACAAAGCAGCAGGGAGATAACCTCAGCCAAATCCAAACCCACTGAGCAAAACAGTGCTGCTGAGGATGCAGCGCTGGCATCAGAAAGCAGCAAATTCACAGACCAGGAAAAGCCGAGTGGTGAGCACATTCCCTACCTGTCACCATATCACAGCTCTTCTTACAGATACGGGAATATACCTGCTCACGCGAAGCATTATCAAAGCTATATGCAGCTGATCCAGCAGAAGTCTGCTGTGGAGTATGCCCAAAGCCAGCTCAGCCTGGTGAGCATGTGCAAGGACTCGCAGAAGGGTGCGGAGCCCAAGATGGAGTGGAAGGTGAAAATAAGGAGTGATGGGACGAGGTACATCACAAAGAGACCAGTGAGAGACAGAATCCTGAAGGAACGTGCCTTAAAAATTAAAGAGGAGCGCAGCGGGATGACGACAGATGATGATACAATGAGTGAGATGAAGATGGGTCGCTACTGGAGCAAAGAAGAGCGGAAGCAGCATTTGGTGAGAGCCAAGGAGCAGAGAAGGCGGCGGGAGTTCATGATGAGGAGCAGGCTGGAGTGTCTTAAAGAAAGTCCTCAGAGTGGCAGTGAGGGGAAAAAGGAAATTAACATTATTGAACTGAGTCACAAAAAGATGATGAAAAAGAGAAACAAGAAAATCTTGGACAACTGGATGACAATCCAAGAACTGATGACACATGGTGCTAAATCTCCAGATGGCACCAGAGTGCACAATGCCTTTTTATCAGTTACTACTGTATGAACACAACTTCTTCCAGAGAGTATACTACCAGTTCAGGTAGAGTACGATTGCCTCGTTCAATGTGGCATTTTTATATATTTTGTGACTGTTTATAGTTTGACCTTTTTGTAAGCAAAATTACCTGGTAGTTTTTCATTTGTTTTTCATATAATGGTACCTTCTTTATCTGGCAGTCTTTCTTTATCCTGAAATATATTCATAGTATTCATTTGTAAAAAAAAAGTTTTAAAAAAAAGTTTTAAAAAAAAGTAAAAAAAAAAAAGTGGAGAAGCCAATTAATTTCTTAACCTAATACATATCCTGTAAGTTAAGATCTGGATTTATTTCTCTAGTTTTCTTTGTTGTACTTTAGTAACAATACAATACCAAAACAAAATGCTTTATACTGTATCCTTGGCTTAACAAGTTTTAAAGTTTTACATCTTAGAGTGCTTCTGTTTAGAAATCATATGCCACATCTCATCGAATTACATTTTTCCAACAACACATTGTACAGTACATTTAATCTGTAAATTGCAATTGTATTTGTCCAAGTAAAGTGTAGGTGGGCAATTCTGCTGTGTTACGTAGTGGCATTGGTCATGTAGCTGGGCAGTATGTGATAATTGTGAAAATGAAAAGAGGAATAAATTATTGCTTATCTTTAAGAAAAAAAAATCTGAAGACTTCTTTGATTTGAATTCAGTATTTGCCTTGAAAGGATGAGTCATTTCACCATGTATGATTTTTATAGCATATAGAGATTTCAGGAACATGGGACACAATTCCAAAGACAAGTTTTTATTAATTAGGTTTTAATTTTGTGGACGACATAGGAGCAAATGGGTCTTTCTGGCTTTGACTTATCTGCGGTTATTAGTTGATTGAATGATTCATTGATATGTTACTGTGGTTTATGCTGTCAGGTAACTACCATGGATCCTTTCTCCAGCTGGGCTTGCTATTTGTTCTACACATACAAAATGTAAATAGAGCACATGCCTAATGTTGAGCCAGATCCTGTGCAAGAAAAACTAGCCGTGGCTGTCACTTTTATTTTCACAGAAGGTGAATTAAGGAAAAATAAAGAATGAAAGGCATCTAAATGAATTAGGGGGTTAACCTTATTGTTGAGGAGCATACAGGTTTTTTAGAAGAGCCCTAGTGGGAACTGGCTGGGGCTTGGGAGCAAGGGTAGCTTGCTATCTGGGTGCCTGGTGGGTAGAGCATCGTCTCTCCTTGTCTCTCCCTGCAGCAAAATTACTTTTGCTGCCATTGGGACATCTTTAGGGCTACTGCTGCTGGCAACCCACAGCAAGCTGGAATGACTTGTCCTGGGCAATCAGCAGGGCTGAAGGCATTGCCTAGTAGACCCATTTTTGTTGTCGCAGCACATGACTCACAGCAGTTCCTAAATGATTGAAGTGCTTTTGATAGCAGGATTAGGTGCTGAAGTCACTTGGTATCAGGCTTTAAAGACATGCTTGAAGATGCAGAAAGGCACGTTACAGTATATCCAAATTATCCAGATCTGGAAATCAGTTACTTGTTTTCTAACAACTTTTGGCACCAGTAGGCCTTGGCAGTGCTCTCTGCATCTCCAGGCATGTAAATACCCTAAGAATACTTCTCCCCAAGTGCTTAGGAAAATTATGCTGCTGACAGTTTACAGTTTGATAATCAGAAAATTCTCCGCACCAGACTTATGGAAACATCATGCTAAATTCTCTCTAAATATACAGCTATTCCTGTCCAATGAATTTGTGTATATTCATGTACACTGTTTGCCATTACATTAGAAAAAGAGTGGAATCCACGGCCAGACAGGATCAAGTGGTGATTCAGTGATGATACACTACTGCTTCAAGGGACCATTACAAGATTGTCCCTCCAGCTGAGCGAGGGAATTGTCTTTGACTCACTTGTCTCCTGGAAGGGTACACATTCTTGTTCTGGACAGTTCAAAGCACAGACATTTGGCTGTTTCTCTCATTGCATTCTTTTGGCCACACGTATAAACAGGTCTCATTCCTAATCAAAGTTCACCTATCATGAGCTCCAGATAATGGCTACTCTTACAGCTTTCCCTTAGACACTTACCATTTTCTTCCCATTATTAAATCATTATTCAGAGCTTCTCTTAAACTAACTATTACGACACCAAAAATTCAGAGGACAACCTGGATCTTCAGAAAATGTAGTATCATTATTTCATCACTGAGAAATACAATTAGGGAAACCCATGTCTAGTTAGATAAAAGACCTAAATAGATGGAGACAGGTGTGTGTGCATTAAATAATAGAGAATAATCAGAGAAACAAATAAACAGTATTTCTATAGATTATATATTAATAGGTTGTAAATGGAAATGCAGCCAAGTCTGAGGAGCTCTGTCAAAACCTAGTGACTAGAGAAGCCCAAGGGATGATAACAGTAACACTGCTGGTGGCACACCATGATATGGCTTCTGGCTCAGCACATCCCTGCCAGAGCCTTCTCCCAGCCACCTTCTCCCTCCTTCACCTTTGGAATTGACATATCCCTGTCCAAAACTTAATCTGGAAGTTTTCCACCAGCCCATGGTTTTCTCTCCTTTCTTCATAACTACAGTTCAGAACTGACATTTCCTTTGTTCCCAAAGCCATTTCTGGGAGAAGTCTTGTGGCTTGCCCTGATTAAATACCTTGATCGTTTCTGCTAGCAAGGAGAATAAACATGTGACCCCAGAGCGGGGCTGCAAGGTGACCTGAGGTGGTGATGCAGAAGGGCTGAATGGCAGGCAAGTGTTTTCCTGCCCACTGCTCTCAGCCAGTTTCTCTGCAGGACTCAGTGCTGCCCTCCCAGCAGCTTTTTATCAGCAAAATCCAAGACTGACATCCCACATGCTGTTTATTCCTGTAGATTTTTAATGAGGAAAATAGCATTTTAGCACCAAGAGAAGAAAACAAAACAAGGGATTAAATTAAAAGAGAAAAAAAAAAAAAGTACATTTCATGTTGTCATAAGTATTTTTTTAAAGAGAGTTTTCTGTTGTGAGAACTATTCTTTTTTTTCATATGAAGGAACATAAAAATGCTTTCGAACTGGAACAAGACCGGATCTTGCTTAGGAAGGTTACTTGCATGTCTAGGATAAAGATAAAAAGGCAAGGAAGAGGAGCTACAGAGATGTGTTACCATTGCCACATCACTGCTGGGAAAGGAATTAATGTCCCATTCATCCTTCCTCCAACCCTGGTATCCAGCTGAGACCACTGGGAGGTAATCCTTCCTGTTAAGTCAGCAAGGTGGCCTTGTAAAAACTTTTCTTGTGTCACTTGAAAACTGTGTTGCCAGCTGATGTAGGAGCATTGCTCACCACAAATAAGGTTAAAATCTGCAGGATCCTTGGATATTCCTCTCCAGTGTAAGTATCCTTAAAGGGAAAATTATGTATTTAGTGTGATCATTACAATATGCTAAACCTTCTGAACTGAATGAGAGCAATCAAAGATGGAATCTAATCTGTGCTTGATGCCTTGCCCTGTATGAAGGCTATGGGGATCTCAGATGATACAGCAACTTCAGCATTCTAAACTTGTAGGTATTTAATTATTCATTAATAACATGATGCCTGACTTTTTCACTTTTTTTTTCTTTCTTTCTTTTTTTTTTTTTTTTTTTTTTTTAAACTAATGTTCCTTTTTAACCCCCCTTTTTTGTTCC